AGCTTCTGGAAGAGCATGTGGAACCAGAAATACCAAAAATGTTTCCTCACTTGAGGGAAAGAATATTGTATTTCAGCAGCCTCACTTGGAAACCCAAGGTAGAGAAGGCTTACCTCGACAAGATTGGGACCTGGGAGGTCCGGAGTGGCTTTCATCTTATGGAATTGTTTACAAATTGATACATAAGAAACCATAAGAAGGTGAAAGGATTGTAATGTCTTAAGCAGGTCTTGGTGGTGCACTGCTGCCCTAGCTATTCTGGGGGTTGAGGCGGGAGGATGACTTGAGTCCAGGAGTTGGTGGCTGCAGTAAGCTATGACAGTGCCACTGCAGTCCAGCCTGGGTGACACAGTGAGATCCTGTCTCTAAAATTAAAAAAAAAAAAAAAAAAAGGTAGGAGTATCATCCTGGACCTTTAAACTTGTATGGGCCGGAGATGGCTAGGAAAACGAATCAGCTACAGACTGGACTCCATTTTATGGGAAATGAAAGGTAATTTCCATGTGGCTGCTAGAGGAAGTGTTGAGAGAGGAAGTGCCAGGGAGAAGCCAGATGGTCTTTTTTTTTTTTTTTTTTTTTTGAGACGGAGTTTCACCCTTGTTACCCAGGCTGGAGTGCAATGGCGCGATCTCGGCTCACCGCAACCTCCGCTTCCTGGATTCAGGCAATTCTCCTGCCTCAGCCTCCTGAGTAGCTGGGATTACAGGCACGCACCACCATACCCAGCTAGTTTTCTGTATTTTTAGTAGAGTCGGGGTTTCACCATGTTGACCAGGATGGTCTCGATCTTGACCTTGTGATCCGCCCGCCTCGGCCTCCCAAAGTGCTGGGATTACAGGCTTGAGCCACCGCGCCCGGCCCCAGATGGTCTTTTTTAACCTACCCTCAGAAACCAAGGAGCACTGCTTCCTGTCATTTTATTATTGACGCAAAGACCCACCTACATTCACAGGGAGATAAACTATGCCCCTTGAAAGGAAAGTGGCAAGATTCTGGAAGAGTTAAGGGGACCAAAGCTGTTTTTTCAGCCATTTTTGAAAACTTCAATCTCTGATCCTATTCTACTAATTAAGCTGATTGTAGATTCTTAAGATCAAATAGGCACTTTTGTATATTTTACAATATTTGATAGGAAAATAAATCTGTATGTGGAAAAAATGAGACGCTGTTAGATTTCCAGATCTCCTCCCATTCCCTGTATCCAAGGAAGGGGAGTAAGCCCTTGAGCAATTGTAAACACAAAATTGTCCTTACGTGAATATGTAACAGAAAATTTAGTAGACTATATATGAAAACTGGGACAGGAAGTGGGGAGGGTTGCTAGGTATGAGGAGGGGAGTGGGTAAAAGCTCTATAAGTCCTCATCTATGTTGAAAAGACAACAAATAATGCCTAAAGTTGGAAAAATCTAGAAATATTGTAAGCACATAATTTACAAATATGGTAGTGAATAACAAAATAAGCTAAAAGGGTTGGAAGTAGTTGTTGCTTGGAGTGGTGAATCAGTTCAGAAAATGGAACTATATGATTTCTTCAGTGAGGTACATATGTTCAATGTACTAAATTTAAGACGGAAAATGAACAAAATGAGCTAAACTGAAGCTAAAATCACTGAATAAAGAATTAAGTCTTCTGGCAATGTTTGTTCACATGAACATGTCAATATTATCCAAATAAATTCTGCATGTCCCTTTAACTTTAGTTTCCTCTATAATAACAATGTTGATATCAAGTGAATGACCAAAAAAAAAAAAAAAAAAAAAAATTCAGAACAGGATACTATGCAAAAGAAGAGAGATTGGCCAGGTGTGGTGGCTCAACACTTTGTAATCCCAGCACTTTGCAAGGCCAAGGCAGGCGGACCACAAGTTCAGGATTTTGAGACCAGCCTGACCAACATGGTGAAACTCCATCTCTACTAAAAATACAAAAATTAGCAGGGCATGGCAGCACATGCCTATAATCCCAGCTATTTGGGAGGCTGAGGCAGGAGAATCACTTGAACCTAGGAGGCAGAGGTTGCAGTGAGCCAAGATCGCGCTACTGCACTCCAGCCTGGGCTACAGATAGAGACTTCATCTCAAAAAAGAAGAGAGATCAAAAAAACATTTTTTTTTTTTTGAAACAGTCTAGCTCTGTTTTTCAAATGAACTTACACTTCTTAGGCTAGTGAATAGAGCTACTAAAAACTTCATTTAACAATATCACATAATTGGCCAGGCATGGTGGCTCATGCCTGTAATCCCAGCACTTTGGGAGGCCAGAGACAGTAGATCACGAGGTCAGGAGTTCAAGACCAGCCTAGCCAAGATGGTGAAACCCCATCTCAACTAAAAATACAAAAATCAGCTGGGCATAGTGGCAGGTGCCTGTAATCCCAGCTACTCAGGAGGCTGAGGCAGGAGAATCAGTTGAACCTGGGGGCAGAGGTAGCCGTGAGCAGAGATTGCACCACTGTACTCAGCCTGAGTGACAGAGTGAGACTCCATCTCAAAAAAAAAAAAAAAAAAAAGAAAGAAACAAAAAGGCACTTGGCAAAAACACTCAACAAACTAGGAATGAAAGGAAATTATCTGAACCTAATAAAGACCGTGTTTTAAAAGCCCACAGCTAACATCACATTTAATAGTGAAAAACTGCAAGTATGTACACTCTTGCTACTTCTATTCAACATATTGCTAAAAGCTTTTGCCAGAGCAATTAAGCAAAAAATAAATATAAGCTCAACATTGGAAAAGAAGGGCCAGGCATGTGGCTCATGCCTGTAATCCCAACACTTTGGGAGGCTGAGATGGGAAGATTGCTTGCTTGAGGCCAGAAGTTCAAGATTAGTCTGAGCAACACAGCAAGACCCTGTCTCTACAAAAAACTTTTTAAAAAATTAGCCAGGCATGATGTTTCATTCTTATAGTCCCAGCTGTGCAGGAGGCTAAAGCAGGAGGATCACTTGAGCCCAATATCCTGGCTCAGTGAGCCATGATTGCTCCACTTCATTGAAGCTTGGGTGACAGAGTGAAAACTTGCCAAAAAAAAAAAAAAAAAAGAAGAAGTAAAATTATCTCTGTTAACAAATGACATGGTCTTATATGTGGAAAACCCTAAAGATTCCACCAAAAAATGGTTAGACCTAATAAATGAATTCAACAAAGTTGCAAGGTACAAAATCAACACACAAGTCAGTTGGCTTCTATACACTAACAATGAACAACTCAAAGGAAATTAAGAAAACAATCACATTTAAAATAGAATCAAAAAGAATAAAATATTTAGGAATAACTTAATCAAGTAGGTAAAAGACTTATATACTGAAAACTACAAAACATTGCTGAAAGAAATTAGACGCAAATAAATGGAAAGACATTTGTGTTTGTGGATGGGAAGACTTAATATTGTTAAAATCAAAATGCCCTACTACCCAAAGTAAGTTACAGATTCATTGCAATACCTATCAAAATTCCAGTTCCATTTTTCTCTGCAGATTTTTTCAAAGTCCTAAAATTCATATGGAATCTCAAAAGACCCTGAATAGACAGAACGATCTTAAGAAAAATAAAGCCTTCCATTTCCTGACTTCAAAACATTGTCCAAAGATGCAGTAATCAAAACAGAATGCTACTGGCATAAGAACAAATAGACCAATTGAACAGAATAGAGAACCTAGAAATTAACTCTCAAGTATCTGGTTAAGTGATCTTCGACAATGCTACATATTGAGGAGAGAACAGTGTTGGGAAAACTGAACATCCACAAGCAAAAGAATGAAGTTCAACCTTTACCCAACACCATATACTAAAATTAACTCAGAATGGACCAAAAACCTAAATTAACACCTGAAACTATAAAACTCCTAGAAGAAAACAGGAGGAAAGCTTCATGACATTGGATTTAGCAGTGATTTCTCACATATGATACCGAAAGCACAGACAAAGCAAAAACAGACAACTGGGGCTACATGAAACTTACAAACTTCTGATAGCAAAGGACACAATCAACAGAGTGAAAAGATAAAGGCCGGGCGCGGTGGCTCAAGCCTGTAATCCCAGCACTTTGGGAGGCCGAGGCGGGTGGATCACGAGGTCGAGAGATCGAGACCAACCTGGTCAACATGGTGAAACACCGTCTCTACTAAAAGTGCAAAAAATTAGCTGGGCATGGTGGCACGTGCCTGTAATCCCAGCTACTCAGGAGGCTGAGGCAGGAGAATTGCCTGAGCCCAGGAGGCGGAGGTTGCGGTGAGCCGAGATCGCGCCATTGCACTCCAGCCTGGGTAACAAGGGCGAAACTCCGTTTCAAAAAAAAGAAAAAAAAAAAAGAAAAGATAACCTAGGGGATGGGAGAAAATATCCACGATACATAAAGAATGCCTACAATTCAACAACAGCAAAAAACCCTATACGAAAATGGACAAAGGACTTGAATAAACGTTTCTCCAAAGAATATATACAGATATTAGCAGTAGTGGTAGAGACGGTGTCTCCTAAGCTTTCCAGGCTGGCCTTGCACTTCCTCCTTGGGCTCAAGCGATGCTCCCACCTCAGCCTCAGCCTTCTGGGTAGCTGGGACTACGGGTACGCGCCACCACATCCAGCTAATTTTTAACTTTTTTGTATAGACAGAGTTCTCATTGTGTTGGCGAGGCTGGTCTCATCTCAAACCCCTGGGCAAAAGCGATCCTCCCGCTCTTTCCTCCCAAAGTGCTAGGATTACAGGCGTGAGCCAGCACGCCCACCAGAGCCAATTATTTTTATTTGAGGAAACTGAAGTTCCCAAAGGAGGAATCCCCGTCTGGGGAAGCCTTGTTTGGGTGAGCTTTCCAGCATATGCCTGTCTTCTAGATTCAACCTCTGAAAACTCTAATGTCTAAGGTACTTTGCTTACAGGGGAAACCAATTCCGCCTGCGGTCTGTCTCTGCGCACGCGCAGAACCACCAAATCTGGCGCAAGCATGGGAACCTTCTGGGCGTGGGCTTCCTGCGGCTGAGTGGCTGCTTCCATCCGGTGGGTTTTGCTTGGCGCACCCGGGAGGCGGGGCTTGCGGGGCAACATGGAGTTAGTGGCGGTTCTGAAGCGCGGGCTGCAGCAGGTCAGCGGCCACGGCGGTCTCCGAGGCTATCTACGGATGTTATTCAGGTACGCGGCCGGAGTCATACTTTTGGCCTCTGAGGATGGACTCTCGCTGGCTGATTTCTTGGAAGGGGACACAAACTTGGGTCACCTTGAAGAATCCACAGCTTTTGTCAAGGACAACCGCCCCAATCTCTGCCTTGCCACCCCCAGGCTGGTCTCTGTCCGAGACAAGACCGAAGCTATCTGTAGAGTCAGAGCTGTGACACGGAGGCAAGGGCATCTGGGCTGCACTCCTTTCCCACGCCCTGGAGAGTAATGAACATTAAGAGACATTAACTCGGTGACCTTGGTAAAGTTTTTTCCCTGCACTGGCGTACAGTTCCCTTCCTGTAAGGCGTTGAAGGTGACAATAATGGTCCCTGCTCTTCTGACATTCATTGATCCCACGAGCAACAACATAGTTTAGTGGAAACCTAAACGGAGACCCAGAGTGGAGTGAAAGAGCCTGGAGACCTTCGTATCATTTTAAGAAGATGAAATACCTTGGCTTTTTTATTTCCTGAAGATTTTGCTAACTCCAGTGCCTCCTGGCTGAGGGACAGTAGTTAGAAGTAGTCCTGTAATCTGAAGAGAGTACATTTATATTTTTAGTGTAATTTGGGCACATCAGTTGTCAATTCATCTTTTCCCATTCTATGCATTATTCTGGGGGACAACATGAACAAGGATTCTAGAGCTTTTAACCTGAAAGCTGATTCTTCAACATTGGGTGGCGGGAGCCTGGAGATGAAGGCTGGAAGTATGCAACCAGTGACTATCCTCAGCACTTACTCATTTTGCTAGTTGATGGAGCAGCCCTTGTGTCTGAAAAGTTGTTATTCTTACTTTGTTTCTGTTTGTGTTTTGAGCAAAGGATCATTCTAAAATGTCTGTTTTCTTTTGGGTATTCACAGGGTAAATGATGTGAAAATTGGTACATTAGTCGGGGAAGACAAATATGGAAACAAATACTATGAAGACAACAAGCAATTTTTTGGTGAGTGCAGTATTTTTTAATGTGAAAATTGGGATTGGGATTTGATTTGAGTCTATTTTTCATATTATGCAGGGAGCGTTTACAAAGCACTTGGAAAAGGATGAAAAACCTCAATAGAAAATGAAAAAAGGTAGTTTACAGAAAGAAAAATAAATAGCTAATGAAGGTATGGATAATAGTCATTCTCACTTGTAATAACAGAAATGCAACTTTAAAAAAAGTGTTACATTTTTTTCACCTATCAAATTTTGAAGCTTTTTTTTTTTTTTTTTTCTTTCTTTTTCTTTTTCTTTTTTTTTTTTTTTTTGAGACGGAGTCTTGCTTTGTTGTTGCCCAGGCTGGAGTCCAGGGGCGTGATCTTGGCTCACTGAAACCTCTGCCTCCCAGGTTTCAGCGATTCTACTGCTTCAGCCTCCCGAGTAGCTGGGACTAGTACCACCACACCCAGCTAATTTTTGTGTCTTTAGTAGAGATGGGGTTTCACCATATTGGCCAGGCTGGTCGCAAACTCCTGTCGTAATCTGCCTGCCTCGGCCGCGCAAAGTGCTGGGACTACAGGCGTGAGCCACCACACCAATGTAAATTTTGGTATTTGTCAGAATTTACATTGCACGTATCCTTTGTGTCAGCACTTCCACTTTTAAGAATTAATTCTACAAACATTCTTATAAAACAAACATCCATCACAGCACTGTTTTATTATATTTTAAAAATTTATTCATTTATTTATTTTTGAGACAGGGTCTCCCTCTGTTACCCAGGCTAGAGTACAATGGCTTACTACAGCCTCGACTTCCTGTGCTCAAGCTATCCTCCTACCTCAGTCACCCAAGTAGCTGGGATTACAGGCATGTGTCATCATGCCTGGCTAATTGAAAAAAAAAATTGTTTTTGGAGAGTTGGAGTCTTGCTATGTTTCTTAGGCTGGTCTTGAACTCCTGGGCTCAGGTGATCCTTCCACCTCGGCCTCCCAAAGTGCTGGAATTACAGGTGTGAATCACTGTGCCTGGCCACAGCATTTTGTTTGTTTGTTGTTGTTATTTTGAGACAGGGTCTCACTCTGTCACCTAGGCTGCAGTACAGTGATGTGATCTTGGCTCCCTGCAGCTGTGACCTCCTGGGCTCCAGCCATCCTCCTGCCTCAGCCTCCTGTGTAGCTGGGACTACAGTGACGCACCACCACACTTGGGTAATTTTTAAATTTTTTTTTTTTTTTTTTTTGAGACGGAGTCTCGCTCTGTCACCCAGCCTGAAGTGCAGTGGTATGATCTTGGCTCACTGCAACTTCCACCTCCCGGGTTCAAGTGATTCTCCTGCCTCAGCCTCCCAACTAGCTGTGACTACAGGCACATGCCACCACACCCAGCTAATTTTTTGTATTTTTAGTAGAGACAGGGTTTCACCCTATTAGCCAGGATGATCTCAATCTCCTGACCTCGTGGTCTGCCTACCTTAGCTTCCCAAAGTGCTGGGATTACAGACATGAGCCACTGCACCTGGCCTTAATTTTTTTTTTTTTTTTTTTTTTTTTTTTTTTTCAGAGACGAAGTCTCACTTTGTTCCCCAGGCTGGTCTTGAATTCCTGGCCTTAAGCCATCCTCCTGCCTCAGTCTCTCAAAGTGCTGGGATCATGGTTATGAGCCACCATGCTAATAAATTTTAAAAGCAACATTAGTGTGTGTAAGTTGGATACTGATGAATTAGACATTTTTTAGAATACTTTGTTAAGAATAATATGAACCTATAAATTTAATATAGAGAGATGTCAAAGATGTGTGTGATATAAAAAACTGTAGTTGCAGAACAATGTTTGGTATCCTTAAAAGGAGAAAATACATGTTTTTTGTGTGCATGTTAAATTTTGGAAGGAAACACAATAAACCTGTAGAATCAGATGGTAGAGATTCAACATTCTTCCTCTCTACTTTATAACTTTGTGACCTGGTTAACTTAATTAACTTCCCTAAGCCTCAGTTTTCTCATCTGTAAAGTAGAATAATAATAATATGTGCCTCATAAAGATGTATTGAAAGATAGATGAAAAGTGAATTGGAGAAACTGACCCTGATGTAGGGTTTCTCAACCTAAGCAGTATTAACATCATGGGACAGATCATTCTTTCTTTTCATTTTTTGTTTTTTTATTTCAGTAGTTTTTGGGATACAGACAGTTTTGGTTTCATGGGTAAGTTTTGTAGCAGTGAATTCTGAGATTTTGGTATACCTGTAACCCAAGCAGTGTATACTATATCCGGTATGTAGTCTTTTATCCCCTTTAGTCCCCAGAGTCCATTATGTCATTCTTGTAACTCTGCATCCTTATAGCTTAGCTCCCACTTATAAGTGAAAACATACAATACTTGGTTTTCCATTCCTGAGCTACTTCACTTAGACTAATGGCCTACAGTTGCATCCAGGTTGCTGCGAAGGCCATTTTTGCTTTCCATTTTGTGGCTGAATAGTATTCATGGTGTATATATACCACATTTTCTTCATCTACTCATTGGTTGATGAGCATTTAGATTGAGTCCTTATTTTTGCAACTGCAAATTGTGTTGCTGTAAACATGTGTGTGCATGTGTCTTTTTCATATAATGACTTCTTTTTCTTTAGGTAGATACCCAGCAGTGGGATTGCTGGATCAAATGGTAGTTCTGTTTTCTACCTTCAGTTCTTTTTTTTTTTTCTTTTTTGAATCTGTATGCCTTGAACCTACCTTCAGTTCTTTAAAGAATCTCTTTACTGTTTTCCATAGTGGTTGTACTAGTTTACATTCCCACCAGCAGTGTAAAAGTGTTCCCTTTTCACATCGCCACCACCATCTATTATTTTTTGAATTTTTAATTACGGCCATTCTTGCAGGAGTAAGGTGTTATCTCATTGTGGTTTTAATTTGCATTTTTCTTATAGTGATGTTGAGCACTTTTGCATAGGTTTGTTGGCTGTTTGTATCTTTTGAGAATTGTCTATTCATGTCCTTTGCCCACTTTTTCATGGGATTGTTCTTTCCTTACTGATTTGTGTGAGTTCCTTGTAGATTCTGGATATTAGTCCTTTGTCTGATGCACAGTTTGCAGATATTTTATCCCACTTTGTGGGTTGTCTGTTTACTCTGCTGATTATTTCTTTTGCTGTGCAGAAGCTTTTTAGTTTAATTGGGTACCATTTATTTATTTTTGTTTTTGTTGCATTTGGGTTCTTAGTTATGACTTCTTTGCCTAAGCCAACATCTGGAAGAGTTTTTCTGATGTGATGTTCTAGAATTTTTATGGTTTCAGGTCTTAGATTTAACTCTTTGATCCATCTTGTTGATTTGTGTATAAGGTGAGACATGGGGATCCACTTCCATTCTTCTACATGTGACTTGCTAGTTTTCTCAACACCATTTGTTGAATAGGTTGTCCTTTCTCCACTTTATGTTTTTGTTTGCTTTGTCGAAGATCAGTTGGCTGTGAGTACTTGGATTTCTTTCTGGGTCTCCATTCTGTTTGATTGGTCTACATGCCTGTTTTTATGCCAGTAGCATACTGTTTTGGTAACTGTAGCCTTGTAGTATAATTTGAAGTCAGATAATGTGACGTCTCTAGTTTTGTTCTTTTTGCTTAGTATTGCTTTGGCTATGTGGGCTCATTTTTGGTTCCATATGAATTTTAAGATTTTTTTTCTAGTTCTGTGTAGAATGGTGATGGTGTTTTGATGGGAATTACATTAAATCTGTAAATTGCTTTGGACCATATGGTCATTTTCACAATATTGATTATGCCTATCCATGAGCATGGGATACATTTCCATTTGTTTATATCATCTATGATTTCTTTCAGCAGTGTTTTGTAGTTTTCTTGTAGAGATCTGTCACTTTGTTGGTTAAGCATATTCTGAAGTATTTTATTTTATTTTTTGCAGCTGTTGTAGAAGGGATGGAGTTCTTGATTTGATTCTCAGCTTGTTTGTTGTTGTTGTATAGCTACTGATTTGTGTACATTGATTTAGTATCCTGAAACTTTGCTGGATTTATTTATCAGGTCTAGGAGCTTTCTGGATGAGTCTTTAGGTTTTTCTAGGTATGTGATCATATCATCAATGTACAATGACAGTTTGACCTTCTCTTTTTAGATTTGGATGTGCTTTCTTTCTTTCCCTTATCCAATTGCTTTGGCTAGGACTTCCAGTATTATGTTGAATAGAAGTGGTGAAAGTGGGCATCCTTGGCTTGTTCCAGTCTTAGGGAGCATGCTCTCAGCTTTTCCCCATTTAGTATAATGTTTGCTGTGGGTTTGTCATATATGGCTTTTATTACTTTGAGGTATGTCCCTTCTGTGCCAATATAGTTGAGGGATTTTATCATAAAGGAATGCTGGCTTTTATCAAATGCTTTTTCTTCATCTAATGAGAGCGAGATGAACATATGATTTTTGTTTTTAATTCTATATATGTGATATATCACATTTATTGACTTGCATATGTTAAACCATCCCTGCATCCCGTGTATGAAACCCACTTGATCATGACGTATTATTATCTTTTGATATGCTGTTGGATTCGGTTAGCTAGTATTTTGTTGAGGATTTTTGCATCTGTGTTCAGCAGGGATATTGGTCTGTAGTTTTCTTTTTTTGTTATGTCCTTTGGGACAGATAATTCTTTGTTGTGAGGGGCTGTCCTATGCATCATAGAATGACCAGAAGCAACAGCTCTGACTGACAACCAAAAATGTCTCCAGACATTGCCAAATGTCCCTTTGGGGGTAAAATTTCCATCTGTTAAGACCCATTGGCCCAATGCTTAGTACATGAGTGCTCAATAAATATTAGAACTGTGGCTGCTGTTATTGTTACAGGTTGAGTATCCCTTATGCAAAATGCTTGGGACCATAAGTATTTCAGATTTTAGATTTTTTTAGATTTTGTAATATTTGCATTATACATCCCAGTTTAGCATCCCTAATCTGAAATCCAAAATGCTTTAATGAGCATTTCTTTTGAGTGACATGCCAGCACACACAAACGTTTCCAATTTTGGAGCTTTTCGAATTGGAGATACCCAATCTGTACCTTCCTGAATTGTTGAATTTTCTCCCACGTAACATTTGTTACTTTTATAATAATAATAATAATAATAATAATAAAATACTCATGAATGATATGAAAAAAGGATCAAAGAGGAAAAAATAATTAGTCTTCATCCAGGGGAAAGATTTATAATGTGAAAAATAATTGCCTAGCATTTATTGAGTGATTACCATGTGCTAGGTGCTGTGCTAAACAAAAGCATATATTATCTGCTTTAATCTTCAACATCTCCTTGAGATAGGCACTTTTGTGCTTCCCATTTTACAGATGAAGAAGATAAGTCATTGAGCAGTTAGGAATATTTCTCAGGAATGTGTAAACTATGTGTGGTTGCACTGGATGCATGTTGGTCTACAAGAAGTAAACATCTTATATGCTCTGTATTTGTGTGTGTGTGTGTGTGTGTGTGTGTGTGTGTGTGTATGCACACCTGATGAAGTCTCACTGCTTTACCCGGGCTGGTCTTGAACTCCTGAGCTCAAGCAATCCTCCTGCCTTAGCTTCCTGAGGTGTTGGAATTACAGGCACATACTGTCACACCCAGTTATAATATTTTTAATAAATAAATCATAGAATTTTAGACCTAGAATATATTTTAAGAGATTGTTTAAAAACTGTTGTTTTATAGATGAAGAAACTGAGGCCCAAGGAAATGTCTTAACCAAAGAGACTTAGTCAAGTAGCTAATAGCAGAGCCAGGGGTAATTATTCTTTCTACTTCTCACTTGGTTATTATAACATTACATTCTTTCTTCTTTTCTTTCTTCCCTTACATTGGAAATATCTTTATTTTTGCTAATTAAAAAAAAGTAGGGCATAGCATGGTGACTCATTCCTGTAGTCCCGATGCTTTGGGAGGCCAAGGTGGAAGGATCAGTTGAGGCCAGGAGTTGAAGACCAGCCTGGAGAACATAGTGAGACCCCATCTCGTGAGTGTGTGTGTGTGTGTGTGTGTGTGTATGTGTGTGTGTGCGCGCACGTGCCTATATGTGTATGTATGTATATATATTTGGTGTATGAAAGCTCCCTCCCCTTATAATTTTACAACTCTTTTAATAGTTTAGTCTTTATGCATATTTAAGATTCTTTTCATTAATTATGAAACAGGTCTCTGTTGCCCACCTGGAATGCAGTGGTGTGGTCTCAGCTCATTGCAACCTCTGCCTCCCATGCTCAAGCGATCCTCTCACCTCAGCCTTATGAGTAGCTGGGACTATAAGCGAGTGCCACCATGCCCAGCTAGTTTTTGTAGTTTTTCGTAGGGATGCGTTTCACCCTAAGTCTTCAGACCTAGGATAGTCTCTAACTCCTGAGCTCAAGCAATCCTCCTGCCTCAGCCTCCCAGAATGCAGGGATTAAGGTGTGAGCCACCGCACCCAGCTGGTTGTGTTTGTTTATTTAAAAAAAAATACACAGCATTTAAAAAAATAGCAACACAACATTCCAGTGTATGGAAGAACCATTTTTCTTTAATCCTGTTACTAGACACATAGGTTGCTTTAGACTTTTTGCTATTAGAAATGCTGCTACTGTGAACTTGCTTGTAACTATATTCATGCGTTTAAATAAATTCCTGGTCTCATCTCTACTAAAAATGCAAAAATTAGCTGGGCATGGTGGCACATGCCTGTTGTCCCAGCTACTCAGGAGGCTGAGACAGGAGAATCACTTGAACTCGGGAGGTGGAGGTTGCAGGCAGTGAGTCGAGGTCACGCCGCTGCACTCCAGCCTAGGAGTATGTATATATATATATATATATATATATATATATATATACACACATTATATATATGTAATATATATAATATATTATGTATAATATATAATATTAATATATAATAAATATATATAATAAATAAATTTATATATGTTGTATATTATATATAAATATATATATTTATATGTGTGTGTGCGTATATATATATAAATTAATCAGTTAATTCCTGGAATTGGAATTACTAAGTCTGAGAATAGGCATTTAACATTTCAAGAAATATGAAGAGAGAGAGATTGAGAGATTGATAAGGCCCAGCTCCACTATTATAGCCTAACTGTATTGTCGGGACCTGACCTATGAAACTCTTCCCAAGGTCTCTTCCATCTGCCTCTACATGCCCCTGCCTCATTGGATTATAGTTTACTTTTAGCTATTCTTTTTTTTTTTTTGAGACGGAGTTTCGCTCTTGTTACCCAGGCTGGAGTGCAATGGCGCGATCTCGGCTCACCGCAACCTCCACCTCCTGGGTTCAGGCAATTCTCCTGCCTCAGCCTCCTGAGTAGCTGGGATTACAGGCACGCGCCACCATGCCCAGCTAATTTTTTTGTATTTTTAGTAGAGACGGGGTTTCACCATGTTGACCAGGATGGTCTCGATCTCTTGACCTCGTGATCCACCTGCCTCGGCCTCCCAAAGTGCTGAGATTACAGGCTGGAGCCACTGTGCCCAGCCCTACTTTTAGCTATTCTTAAGATTGATTTTTCTAAATGAAGCAGCAAATCTTGATTGAAATCTGTATTTAAAAATAAATAGATGAGGTCATGTTTTAAGTAGCAGTAATCAATATTTGTTGATGATATGTTTACCTAGGAAAACCCTGTAAATGAAATGCAGATTACCTTTTGCTTATTGGTTTAAAATCCGTCATAGGAATGAATTAATTCAGTGTTTTCTATTTGGCAGGTAAGATCAGTAAGGAAGGGATAGAAGGAATTAATATTTAATATGTGCTTATATGGCTGATGCTAAACTAGGTAAATTTATGTGATATTTAATTTTCATAGCAACTCTAAGATGTAGGTGTAGTCATCTACTTTTAATAGATAAAGAGGCTCATAAAATTTGCCTAATATCCACTGATAGTGAGTGACGAAGGCTTGATTAGAACCCAAGGCTTTGCTCAGTTTAAGGACCCAAAAGAAACAGTTTTGTAAATAATGATTAGGTCCCCTAACTAGTGCACAGCAATTTCCTAAATAAGGAATGCAGCCATATTATTTTGATGACATGAGCTGTCTTATGTACCTAACCATCATTTCTGATGTTTCCTTATTGTGTATAATTCACAAATTTCCAAAAGGATCTGGGGTGGTTTTTAAAAAATATTTATATGGAGACATAGCATTCAAGTATGATTGCTACAAATGTGTTTTTGCCCCAGTCTCAAGAGGAGCATCTTCTTTTCTGAATACCTAGAACATCTGGGAACACATTTCCCTACCCTGTTTGCTACTCTCTTTGTGGGGAGCTGGCAGGGAAGCAAGGATTCTCCTCTGTGGGAAAGGCCTGAGCCCCACCCGCAGCAGTGAGTTGTCTCAGTCCCTGTTGCCCGTTGCTGATTAAGGCTTGCCGCACATATCCTGGAGCTTGCCTTCACGAATTCAGCCAGGGTGTTGTTCCTCCAATAGCTACCTTATATAAGATCACAAAAAGTCTTTTCTTAATAAAAAGGTTGTCTTTTTGCTATTATGCACTTATTTTTAACAAATAAAAAGTTTTTCTTCTTAAATGTTCATCTTTCCACCCAGGCCGTCACCGATGGGTGATATATACTACTGAAATGAACGGCAAAAACACATTCTGGGATGTGGATGGAAGCATGGTGCCTCCTGAATGGTAAGCTAAGGCAACATTTTATATGATTTTATTTTATTTGTCTTCACCCAGGATGGAATGCAGTGACACAGTCATGACTCATTTCAGCTTTGACCTCCCAGGCTCAGCTGATCCTCCCACATCAGCCTCCCTAGTAGCTGGGACTATAGCCCTGTGCCATCTTACCTGGATAATTTTTGTTGTTGTTTGTTTGCTTTTTTTTTTTGAGATGGAGTGTCACTCTGCCACCCAGGCTGCAGTGCAGTGGCATGATCTTGGCTCACTGCAACTGCCGCCTCCTAGGTTCAGGCAATTCTCCTGCCTCAGCCTCCCAAGTAGCTGGGACTACAGGCACGAGCCACCATGCCCAGCTAATTTTGTATTTTTAGTAGAGATGGGGTTTCACTGTGTTTACCAGGGTGGTCTTGAACTCCTGATCTCAGGTGATCCACCCACTTTGACCTCCCAAAGTGCTGGGATTACAGGTATGAGCCACTGTGCGTGGCTTGTTTTTGTTTTTGTTTTTTACACAGAATCTCGCTCTGTTGCCCAGGCTCGGGTGCAGTGGCATGATCTCAGCTCACTGCAACCTCTGACTCCCAGGTTCAAGCAGTTCTTCTGCCTCAGCCTCCTGAGGAGCTGGGACTACAGGCGTGAGCCACCACATCCAGCTAATTTTTGTATTTTTAGTAGAGAAGGGGGTTTCACCATGTTGGCTAGGCTGGTCCTGAACTCCTGACCTCAGGTGATCCACCCCATCTTGGCTTCTTTTTTTTTTTTTTTTTTTTTAGACAGAGTTTCGCTCGTTACCCAGGCTGGAGTGCAATGGCACGATCTCGGCTCACCGCAACCTCCGCCTCCTGGGTTCAGGCAATCCTCCTGCCTCAGCCTCCTGAGTAGCTGGGATTACAGGCACGCGCCACCAAGCCCAGCTAGTTTTTTTTTTTGTATTTTTAGTAGAGACGGAGTTTCACCATGTTGACCAGGATGGTCTCGATCTCTTGACCTCGTGATCCACCCGCCTCGGCCTCCCAAAGTGCTGGGATTACAGGCTTGAGCCACTGCGCCCGGCCATCTTGGCTTCTTAAAGTGCTGGGATTACAGGCATGAGCCACTGCACCTGGTCTAATTTTTGTAGTTTTTACTAGAGATGGGATTTTACCATGTTGCCGAGGCCGGTCTCAAACTCCTAAGCTCAAGTGATCCACCCACCTAGGCCTCCTAAAGTGCCGGGATTACAGTCATGAGCCACCATGCCTGGCTCCTTTTTTTTTTTTAAAGTTGAGATGAGATCTCGCTATGTTGCCCAGGCTCGAACTCCTGGGTTCAAGGAATCCTCTCACCTCAGCCTCCCAAGGAGCTGGGTTGGTAACCGCAAGCCACTGTGCCTAGTTCATTTTATTTTATTTAACTTGACAATATTTATTTCATTACAAAAATATTTATTGAATACCTCTCAATAAGGCAGTCAGTGGCATTCTTCTGAAAGTATATATCTTAATTACACTGAGTGCATAACAAGTTACCCTAAAACTTAGTGGCTTAAAACAACAATTATTTCTCTCTCTGTATTTTTTGGGGGGGTCAGGAGTTCAGACAAGACAAAATGGGGGTGACTAATCTCTGTTCCCGGATGTCTAGAGCCTCAGCTGGAAGACTCCAAGGCTGGACACTGGAATCATCTGAAAACGTATTCACTTGGTATCTGACATTTAATGCTGGCTGTCAGCTAGGGGTATAGATGGGGCTGTGGGTTAAAATACCTACATGTCTCAAGTACTCTGAGAGAGTGAGCTAGGCAGAGCCATATTGCCTTATCAGACTTAGTCTTGCAAATTGTCCGGTATCACTTTCATATTCCATTGATTGAGGCAATTAGAAAGCTCCACCCAAGTTCTGCATGAGAAAACATGGACCTATCTCTTGATGGAGGCATGTCGATAGATATCAGTATATATTAGGATGTATAATGGCGTGTGGCTGTCTTGGGAAAACAGTACGCCATAGTATCACCTGTCTGGTAAAAGAACTTTGGCTCGAATCTTATAAGCAAGTTCCTTAACCTCTCTGGGACTTAGTTTCATCATCAGTAAAATGATAGCCCTAAAATTCCTTAGGTCTCTAAAAACTGCATGGCTTTGTAATATGCACATTTTGACATGAAATTCTAAATGCTCACTTGAATTATCAAATTTTGCATACAGTATTTCGAAGCAAAGTACTTATATCTGTTTCATAGATTGCTGAAATAATACCATACAGTTGTTACACAGTTAAACTCTGGAGATCTTTTCCAGTGGTCTAGAAAAATTTACCCAAAAACTAGAAGTAAGTATATCTGATTGGCTGTGACATTTTATTTTATTTATTTATTTTTTTTGAGACGGAGTTTCGCTCTTGTTACCCAGGCTGGAGTGCAATGGCGCGATCTCGGCTCACCGCAACCTCCGCCTCCTGGGCTCAGGCAATTCTCCTGCCTCAGCCTCCTAAGTAGCTGGGATTACAGGCATGCGCCACCACGCCCAGCTAGTTTTTTTTGTATTTTTAGTAGAGACGGGGTTTCACTATGTTGACCAGGATGGTCTCGATCTCTCGACCTCATGATCCACCTGCCTCGGCCTCCCAAAGTGCTGGGATTACAGGCTTGAGCCACCGCACCCGGCCTGACATTTTATTTTAATTGATTTTGATTGTCAGAGTTAGCTTTGGGCTGTCTTCAGTAGAAAGTGGGATAATCTCTGTTCTAAAGAGTCACTCTTTAGAAGAGAGATATGAAACAATAGGACATAGTGGGGGCTACAGTGAGCTGAAAAGTACAGACTTGGTCAAAGAGGGCAGAAGCCTTATTCAGCAATCCCCAGTTCCATCAAGTGAGAATTCAGCAAAGGGTTTCTGGATGATTTTTCAAAGGTAGACATCTGTATTTCTTGTGAGAGTTTTGTTTTTTCTTTTTTTCTTTTTCTTTTTTTTTAGATGGAGTCTCACTCTGTCTCCTAGGCTGGAATGCATTGGCACCATCTTGGCTCACTGCAACCTCCACCTCCTGGCTTCAGGCGATTCTCTCGCCTCAGCCTCTTGAGTAGCTGAGATTACAAGTGTGCACCACCATGCCCGGCTAATTTTTATACTTTTACTAAAGACAGGTTTCACCATGTTGGCCAGGCTGGTCTCAAACTCCTGGCCCCAAGTGATCCACCAACTTCGACCTCTCAAAGTGTTGGGATTATAGGCATGAGCCACTGCACCTGGCCAGTTCTTGTTTTTTCAGTTAATTTTTTAAAATATTCAACAATTTAAATATAGCATTATCTAGCAGAACTTTTCACTTTCGTGTTCTTTATCTGCCCTGTCCAATAGAGTAGCCACTTGCCACATATGGCCCAGAACACTTTATTATTATTATTATTATTTTGATACAAGGTCACACTCTATTGCCCAGGCTGCAGTGCAGTGGCACAATCAGGGCTCACTGCAGTTTCTATCTCCTGAGTTCAAGTGATCCTCTTGCTTTGGCCCCTGAGTAGCTGGGACTACAGGCATGTGCCACCATGCCCAACTAATTATTTTGTATTTTTAGAAGAGATAAGGTTTTATCATGTTGCCCAGGCTAGTCTTGAACTCCTGGACTCAAATGATTCACCCACCTCTGCCTCCCAAAGTGCTGGGATTACAGGCATGAGCCACCATGCCTGGCCTTTCTAGAGCACTTTAAAATGTGGATAATGCAACTGAGGAAATTTTAAAATTTGTATTTAAGATAAATAGGCTACTCGATTGAACAGAACAGTTTTACTTTTTTCAAATACTGTATGAGCTAAGCAAAACATATTTGTACTGTATGCTTTTACTGAGCTACAATCAGTTTTCAACCCTGTTCTTCTACTTGGACTAACTATGGGCATTGGCCATGTCAGTGATGTAATTTGAAGAACATGATAGTGGATAATGTCTTTAAAATTTCACAGGGACTGAGTGTGGTGGCTCATACCTGTAATCCCAGCAGTTTGAAAGGCTGAGGCATGAAGATCACTTGAGACCAGAAGTTTGAAACCAGCCCAGGCAACTTAACAAGGCCTCATCTTTATAAACAAAAAAATTTTTTAAAATTAGCCAGGCATGGTGATGCATGCCTGTAGTTGCAATTATTTGGGAGGCTGAGGTGGGAGGATCCGTTGAGCCCAGGTGTTTGAGGTTGCACTGAGGTATGATTGCACCACTATACTCCAGCTTGAGGTTTCACTCGAAACCCTGTCTCTCCCTTTTTTGTTTTTTTTTGAGATGGAGTCACACTCCTGTGGTCCAGGCTGGAGTCCAGTGACGCGATCTTGGCTCACTGCAACGTCTGCTTCCCAGGTTCAAGCGATTCTCCTGCCTCAGCCTCCCAAGTAGCTGGGACTACAGGCACCAACCCCCATGCCCAGCTAATTTTTGTCATTTTAGTAGAGACGGGGTTTCACCATATTGGCCAGGCTGGTCTCAAACTTGTGACCTTGTGATCCGCCCACCTTGGCCTCCCAAAGTGCTGGATTACAGGTGTGAGCCACTGTGCCTGCCTGAAACCCTGTCTCTGGAAAAAAGAAAAAAAAAGTCATTGGTCCTTAGCATGAGAAAGCAGCACTGATGAGAAACTTTCTCATGCCACATCATTTGGGGATTGCTATTGTACTCTTTTTTTTTTTTTTCATTGTTCTCGTGGTAGTTTATAAGCACTGATATTGTACTCTTCTTAGTGGGAAATAATAACCTGTGGTTAAGGTCTGAGGAGCAGTGGGTTGTTTTTTGTTTGTTTACATTCTGTGTCTCTCTATTTTTTCCCTTCAACTTTTATTCTAAGTTCTGGGGTACATGTGCAGGGTGTGCAGGTTTTTTACACAGGTAAACGTGTGCCATGGTGGTTTGCTGCACAGATCAATCCATCACCACATATTAAGCCCAGCATGCATTGAGCTGTGGTTTTAGGTTCAGAACCATCAGCCTTCACCGAAGTAGCATTCTGTATGTTAGGAGATCTCATTCTATCT